AATTAGGGCGAAAAGCATGTTTATGACATCACTGTATCCGTATTCCCATTCTAACTACTTCTGTGATATACCGTCTGTGTCAAACTCCTTTATGGCTATACATTATTATTTCTTTAAGCTCAAATCTTTGAAAAGAAGGAAGTTAAAGTAACAACTGGCTGGAACTGAAACAGTAATGTACTTTGACAGTTTTCCATAATATGACATGTGACTGTTCTGAGACCAAACAAAATTTCAAAAGAACAGCAGATCAGAGATAAGGAAGACACACAAAAGGATAACACATCTTAACTCTTTCAGCACCAGACTGTTTTACTTTCATTTAATCTCCCAAAGAATATTGTTACTTTAAATTAATAATAGCTATGTCTAAAGCAGTCCAACTAATAATCTTACTGAAATATTTAAATGTAATAAGAGGATTTAATTACTTACAGCTGAATGAGTGAAAATAAATAATTGGGTTAAATAAAATAAAAGAATATTGCTTTCACAAAGGTTATCAGAATGACCTACTTGTTAACATTTGAAAGTCTGTTCATGTAGATGAGGCCAATGTTAACATGTGCAGCAGCCAGATTTTGTTGCAGCTTTAGGACACTTTCAAAATCAGCAATAGCATCTTTTGGTCTATGGGATAAACAACAAATAATATTTTTTTTCTTCAGAGTTAACCATCATCATCATCCTCCTCCTCATCATCCTCATCATTTGGTCCTATTTTGCAAGGTAATTTCTTGTATCTTGTTAAAAAATATCAGCTAAAATATTATTTTTCAAAACAGCTTACAGCTAGAGCAGTATAAATGTAAGCAGATGTAATTACAATGTAGATCTATAATAAGTGATTTAAATACCTGTATTTGCAACTTTTTTTTTTTAAGGGAATCTTGAGTTTGAAAATTTCTGAATGCATGGCTAGTGCAGTTGCCAGGAATTGGTGAAAGATTTGAAATTTTTTTTGGGACACCCCCCCCACCCCCCCCCCCCTCCTCCCACAAACAAACAAACAAATTTGTCATCACCTTACAGAGGATATGAATCCAAAGAGTCCAATATACTAACCAATCTGTAACAGCCAAACTGCAAAAACTTACTTTTTTCCTAGGGCTTCAATTTTAACTGGCATCAATAGGTGATGTGCCTGGTACTTGATCAGCTGCCTTGTTTTTCCAGAACATTTTCTGCCTTCAACATTAGGAGGCTTTTCTTCCTCTTCCTAGCGTTCACTGACTGTAAACTGTAAGTTCTGGTTGTTCGTCCATTTCTGGACTCTGGTCTTGTTCCAGAACTTGAGTTTTACATGCACATCCATTATACAGACCTGGATAACTTGTATGCGGACTGTTGGTTCCTCTCCTCTCAGGCAAATGCAGTTTTGTAGGAACACACCTAATTAGTGAATTTTTACAAGCTTGTCAGGAACATAGTGGGTCTATTCCTTTTTGTTCTCCCTCAAAATGGTGCCCCAGAATCCATATGAGGAGGGAAACTGGGTTTGGCACCAAAGATATGTGTTCATCATTATCATCATGCTGCTGCTGCTGCTGCTGCTGCTGCTGCTGTTGCTTCTTCTTCTTCTTCTGTGTTCATCTGAAGATGCAATTGCCTTGTGCCTGTTTGCAGCATGGCTGCTATATTTGCGACTTTTGGCTGACACATCCAACTCCTGCAGGCATTTGTTGACTGTGATGGCCTACCTGGGTCATCATAATTCAATACATAGTTGTCTGTTTGCTGCCTCCCTCTTTAATTATATCTCTTTTAATACCAAACAACTCACAAAATGTTGGTAGCCAACCCAAGGATAATATATAATGTTCTTGTTGTCTTCTTCTTCTTCTTCTTCTTCGTGTACACCGGCTGTGAATTCCGGCGAAAGGTCCCGGTTTTTTGTCCATTTGGACTTTTGGCTTTTACCTGGACCAGAGTTTTGCGTGTACATCCGTTTTCCTGGCTTATTCGTTTGCCGTTACCTGCCTCACAGGCAGATGTACTCCTACTTTGAGGACCTTGCTGTCTTCTGAAACAGTAACTTAGGAAAGATGAAGAAATCAGAGAAATGTCTCAACAACTTCTTGTAATATCATAAGACAAAGAAGTTGGCAATATAATGGGTGCATCATGAGCCTAAACAAAGGATCACCAAACAGGCACTAAAATGGGAAACAAATGGGCTGAGAAAATGAGGACATTCAAGAGAAACTGAGATAAATGTTGTAGAGAGAAGAAGTACTGGACTGGATTCCGTCCATGCTGTTACTAAGAAGATTGCACAGAACATAACAGAGGACTCAATGTGAGCCAGTTGTGATCTACAGTGGCACAATAGGCAGCAATGTCTTTTATAACTTAAAATTATTATATTAACCATTTGTATCTGCATCATTAGTTTCACTTCTTCTGTTCCAAAGCATCTCTGTTGAACTACTTTAAGCCCAAATGCCCACTGCTTTTAACCCTTTTGCTTCATAAAAATTTTTTTTTTTTTAAACTCTTCGAGTCCCAGGGAACGCATCATGCCCTAATTTGTTTCAACCTCGTGGCCCAATCAACGCATGACAAGTGAAGGTTTTTAATCTACCACTGACCAGTTGTAAAACGCGGACCATTTAATTTCAACGTCCTTTCAAGTTCTTTATGGCTGATATCAGACGTGCTCATTTAGAAACGTGGTTTGAAAGACGAAAATATAGTATATTTGCGAGATTTGCCAAGTTAAAAAGTGTTTGTCTTAAAAGAATATGGCCGCCAAGCAAAATTCTACATGCATGCCAACATGATTTACGGCTTTAGAAGCCTCAAATTTAAATAATGTAGGTGTTTATTAATTTATCCGAAGTTAGACAACTTCTCGTTACCAGCCAAACAACGGATGATCAACAGCATTTTCATCCCTACGTTATGTTATCAGTGCCAAACGTGGACAATGAACAAATCACATATGCAAAAAATAACTACGTGTGAAATGCGATGTCTCCAAAGAGTCACCAACAATACACGAAGAGACAGAGTCACAAACGTCAGCATTAGAGACAAAGTTGGAACAAGAGCATGCATGGAACATATTGAAAGACAGAGAATGAAGTGGTTTGGCCATTTAGTAAGAATGCAACCGGATCATATTGCCTATAAGGCCTTTTACAGTAGAACATGGGGAAGAAAGGCCAGAGGAAGACCCAGGAAAAAATGGATAGATAGAGTAGCTGAATACGGCCAGAAAATCCAGAAAACTGTCACTCAAATCATGTGAGAGGCACAAAACAAATATTTTAAACCACGACACTGGGCTGCAATCCGGTAAAAGTGAAGAAGACAATAGATAGATAGATAGATAACTTTGCGAATTAGACGTGTTTCAGTAATTTATAGAGCCAAACTTTGATGAGAGATATGTCTAATGTGTACCTCAATCCAAGGGTATATCGATAGCAAAGTCAGCTGGCACAAATAGAATAAACATTAGTGAAAAGACGATTTTCTTCAGTGTCAGTTAGTTCTAGTGCTGTTCCCCTTATTATTTAGGAACATTGCTACAAAATTACAGGCAAATTGAGTGTTATATAAACTTCATTTTGTGTGAAGATACTTATTGTTTTGGGAGTCAATTTTCTTTACCAAATATTGATGCTTTGTTATGATGCTTCAAAAGATTCTTTGGAACAAAATCTAATGTATAGATTGAGTTTATATTTTACTTATACATTACTAAGTGGTTCATATTCATTTGTGATTCATTTTGAATATATTTTAACCAGTTTTCCTTGAGTGCCATGGTGATAAGTGGACATTTTTTATTTTATTTTACTGATTTATGTAAACATTCTGTCTGTTTATTTACTAATATTCAATTACTAACACAATTATTTGTTGTAGCTATATTCTATAATTATTCCTCAACAATCCCTGGTCACTTTGATGTATAAACTTGTAACCGGCAATTGAATTAGTATAGTCTGTTTTAATGTGTTACACTTGTGAAATTAAAAATTGCATTACCACCTCTTGGGCCTCAATGCTAAACCCCTTGGGGCTCAAAGAGTTAATTTTAAATTTTATTTTTTAAAACGAAATTTTTCAAAATTGTTTTTCAAAGAAACCCATTGTTATAATTCCTTGAAACTATACTCTAAGATACTAAAGGAAGAGAAGAGGAAGCAGAAATTTGGAGTCTTGTTCAGTTTTTATAAAAGTCCATGGGGTGGAAACTCATGACACTAAGCAGACAGGCAAGCCTGCTAGCTATTGCATCTTGCATCCTCTAAGTCACTAAAAAGATGGAATTTTTATATTTGGAGTCACTACTTTGAGCTGGGGTGATTTTTTTGTTTTTCTTTATATGAAGGGAAGTAATCACAAAATGCAGACAAATCAAAGAAATAACTGTTGTTCTTTCCTATGACAAAGACACACAAAAATTATCATTTTTCCTAACACAGTCACAAACAGAAAAGTAAAATCATCATAAATTTATTCTGATGTTTACAATAACATAAAATATAAAAAAAAATATTTCCACCCAAAAATATATCCTTCCAAATTCTTTAAAAATACAGTCATACCCACATGTCTACACACTATATAGTTGCAACCAATACTGGTTTATAGATATAGTGGCAACTTCCTAGAGATGCCATGTTGTGAAAGTTGGAAAACTGGTTTTCTTGGGGTTTAGTAATAATCATGAGATAAAAGACATTGAAGTAACAACATCTTTGGGCTGAAAGTGACATCTGAATCTGCATTGAAAGATCTGTGCATGTCTGTTCTGTAAATGTTATCCCTGATCTAAGTCGTTTGCTTTTTTCTCCCAATCTTGTACCCTCAAGTATTGTCTTTGATGTTTCTTTGTGTCCTGCACTGTGATGTTGCATTACAATCTTCGCTTCTTCACTACTTCAACAAGTCTCCTAATGAAACCATGTCCCTGAAAGGCTATGCAATATAATAACAATATCACTAAGCATAAATATCAATGGACGGCACAAACTCAAACCTACTTTTTCAGAGAATCATATAATATGCCACGATGGAGGTAGGATAAGTAATTGTCCTCAGTGTCATTCAGCAGTAAAGACACGCTGAAGTCTTGTAGAGCTTTCCTGGGATGTGCTCTATAACAATAAACATACATTTAAACCTCATTAACTTTTACAGCACCAAACAATAAATTTTTAGTACACACATCCTTGTCTTTAACTCATTACAGATTAGATTTCTGATAGAATGCTGTCATGTACACCTGATGTTTAGATTGAAACCTAAGATTTTCTGTGAACACATTATGCAGCTGTCTTCAAGATATAAAGGGATTGTGGCTGGTGGTCATGATATAAATAATCAACATTATGCCGATACGGTTTTGATAGAGCTAAAAGAAAGAAACAAAAACTAAACTGATAGAGTGGTTGTAGAAAGTGAAAGAACTGGTTCAGCTTGCTTAGCTTAAATAGTGGAAAGACTGATGCAACGGTAATATCAAAGAAAGCAGTAGTGCCTAAATGTACAGTGGCAATATCTTGGGACAAGTACTAAGTTACCAGAAGAAAGAAGCTGGAACATGTTGTGACCTGCAGGAGTGTCAGATTTTTTGGGATTTTGGTGCTAAGATATTAAAGCCCTCCTGTAAACAGGATCACAGTGTGCCTTTTATGGATGAATGAAAAGGGGTAGGAAAGAAAAGGGGGGGGGGGGGGGGGGGGGGAACAAGCTAAACGGAGAAAAGACATTATAATCCAAGCCAAGACAAATTAAGACAAGCCATTCCAAGGCATACCAAGCAATACAAATCAAATACGGCAGACAGAAAAGCCAGAGCTAGAAAAGCTGTGAAAAATCAAGATAAGCTAGGACTAGATAAGCTGAGTGAAAACAAGAGAAGCAAAAGATGTTATGATAAGACACACAAAGATAAGTCAAGTCAAGACAATATGACAGAAGAAAGACAAGCCAGAGCATGAAAAGATGTGATAGGACAAGATAAATTAAGAAAATATAAGACTAGGAATAATAAAAAAAGTTAAAATAAGCCATTAAAAAAAATACAAGACCAGCTACGTCAAAGCAAAAATAAGGCAAGCCAAGACAAGGCATGTTAGGGTAAGCCGAACAAGACAAACCAAGCCGTGTCAAAACAAGACAGATAAAGCTAAGAAAATTCAAACCTGGCCAGAACAAGGAAAATCAAGCCATGCCAGGCAACACAAACCAAGCCAACAAAACAGGTTTCACAAAAGCTAGGACAAAACAAAACAAGCCAACTAAAAGCAAACAAATACACCTACTTTCTCAGAATGCAAGCTCTCAGAAAGAAAGCTTGCCAGTTGTGTGGGTCATGATGGATTGCAGAACTGAAGTCTTGGACTGCTGATACCCAGTTGTTTAACTTGGTGTAAGCCTGGCCACGATACAGATAAGCTGTGGCACTAAGGGGATCAACTTTTAGCATCTGTGTGAAGTCTTTGATGGCACTCTGCCAGTTTCTGTTTGTGGTAAAGGAATAAACTAAATATAGTATTTAAATATGAAATAAAGTGTTTACATGTCAAGAATGTCAAACTCATATGAAATCAAGTAAATGCACCAAAACAGTAAGATAAAACAGCTCACACAAAGCTATAAACTCCAAAGAAAGAACAAAAAATTGGGGAATAAAAAAAGACACTGGCTCACAATGAATACACAAAAGAAGAAAGCCTGCCAGTTGTGTATATCCTCATGGACAAACATGTTGGGCAACTCTAAGACAAGATTAGCCAAAACAAAACATGCTAAGATAAATCAAGAAAATCGCACATGTTAAGATAAACTAAGAAAAGACAAGATAAGGCATGCCTAGACAAGCCAAAACAAGGCAGGCCAGGAAGAGCTACACCCACACTGAAGGTAAAGTGTAACACTGTAACTTTAAGGGGATCAACTTTTAGCACCTGTATGAGTCCCTGATGGTACTGACACTTTCTGTAAGTGGTTTGTGACCACACAATGGAGGCATTTAGGAGCTTATTTTTGTAGGAATACATTGTAATAGCTCTCCAATGGATGTCAGATGGAAAAAGAAAAAGTCAACAACATAAGGAAATCTGGAGAAAAACAGCAGAAAGGGAAATTTTCTTCTTCTTCTTTCGTTCACTTAAAATAGATTATATCTGCACTGTTGTCTCCAGTATGAACTTCACAATCTGTTTAATTCAGTCAGCAACCTGTTAAGTTTAAAGAAAGGGAGATGAAGGAATGTGAAATTACATGGGATTCCGTAGGCAGAGAAGCAGCAGACCAGCAGCAATGGAGATAACCTGTCAATGCCTTATGAGTCAACAGTGACAATGAGAAGATACAGATGGAGACGTTTTCAATAGTACTAAGTTCAGGGAGATGCAGTAGTATCCTGAGTGTCTTCTGGTCTGGTGGTCATACATTTGACTCTAAAAGTGAATTTGTAAGCCTGATACAGGGTCCTAGGCTGACCCAGTTTCAATTTGGTGCCAGTAAATGTCATGGGAAGGTAATCGAGTAATCACAGTTCAAACTTCAGAGCAAACATAATACTAGCGTCGTCCCCATGTGGGATGCAATTTTTAGTTATTTTGAAGCCCCACCCTGACTCTTGCCAGGGGCCCTGAATATAGCTGATCCTTAGTTAGTTAGTTAGTTAGTTAGTTAGTTAGTTAGTTAGTTAGATAGTTAGTTAGTTGGGTTATCATCATTGCACTCTGGACATGTCTATAGGTGCTCAGATCCTCTCCTCAGTATGAACCCAAATGTCGTCTGATGGCTAATAGTATCAGTTCTATGTTGATTATCAAGTCTTCTGGTGTGTCTGGTGTGCGTCTAGTTTTTTGCTATACCGATCTTAATTCCCAAGTCTGCCATTCTGACGAGTGATGTGGATTCACTGCCCTCAAAGCCGATCCTTAAACATGGCCTAACGGTTGAACAGGGTTTCCGGGACCTCTCCTCGAGTGATCCTCACCCGCATGGTGCCACTTTGTGTCACCGGGTGATTATCACTCTAGTGGGGTACAACTTACATACATACAGAGAAAACAGGTCACCCCATAGTTGCTCCATTCCTGTCTTGTGCCAATGAAATCCACACATAAACATTAAATCAAGGGACCAAACATATTTATCATGAATTATTGCTCACCAGATTAGCATAAAACATAAAACCAAATGCAAAAATAGATAAAATCAATAGCCTTTACCCATTTTCAAAATAGTACATGGCATGCTTCATGATGGCATCTGTGCGAGAAGGCATTATTTTCATTGCTTTAGCATAGTCCTCCATGGCCAAAAGCATGTCCCCTCTCTATACAACAAAAGAGAATATGACAATCCCACATCAGCACAAGGAAACATCTCATGTAAAACACATGTTTCCTATGCTACCAGTACCAGACACGGTCACTCACAATAAACCAAAAAAGAAGATTTGTAACCATGGAACTGAAATGTCTGAGAAAGGCTGCAGGAGTGACCAGAAGAGATTTAATCAGGAATAAGGTCATAAAAGAAAACACTGGCATAGAACAAATTTTAATAACATATAAAGACAGCCCCCCCTCCCCCTCCCCCCACCCAATGGTTTCCCTTCATTATAGAGCGTGCCTTGAACCATGGAAATTATATGTCTGAGAAAGACTGTAGGAGTGACCAGAAGAGATTAAATCAGGAATAAGGTCACAAAAGAAAACTTTGGCATAGAACAAATTCTAATTACATATAAAGATAGCAAATAAATGGTTTCCCTTCATTAGAGTGCGCCTTGAGATGCCGTATCATACAAGTCATACATTAAAGGAAGAGAGGGTTATAGATGGAAATATAACATCAGATAATTGATCCGACATGCAGACAGAAGAGCAAGAAGAAGAACTTTATATCTTCCACAACATACAAAGCAGTATAAGAGGAATATAAGGAGAAAAGATACAACAAAAGACTGATGATAAAGAAGAAAGGACAATCTATGAAGACATACTGCTTTAAAAGAGTTTCAAAACCACCAATAATGTAGAGTATTTTAAAACTATATCTTAATATCAAAATAAGTAGTCAAACAGGCATCATAAAAGCATGACACATGAGGCCACTAATGAAGGGCCCTGTCTGGAAAGTTAGGGTGCTTCTGCCTCAGACGTGAAGAACCATACAAATAAGCCCAATCTGTAAAATGAATGTGCTTGCAAACACAAGTTCTGGAACCAGACGAAAGTCCAGAAGTTGGCGAGAACTTTCCGCAGGATCTTAAAGCCAGTGAGCACTTAGTAGAAGAAGAAGAGATTCCTATCAGTACACTTCTATGGCAGGCCCAACAAGATAAAAATGAGTACCAGTAAATATTGTAAATTTTTATAGGAACTGCCTGGTAAGAAATTGAAAAAAAAAAAAGAAAAATAATCACTGTAATGTGTCTCCTCCACACTCAATCTCTCTCGTACAGATTCAACACTGACTCTGTTGTCTAGGTGTTAGGTCACAGTTCATTCTAGCCAGACGGCACTTCTCTCCACGGCCACACAACTTTAAATGACGGTTGACAACAGCTGACGCATTTCACAGGTTTATTGTCAATGTAACACAAGCGACACGAATCAACAGATGAACTAACTAACACCATTCGGGCAATCTCGCCTTGCTCACGCATTGAGTCTCTAGCCATGTTTCAGACGACGGACGCTGGCATGTACACGGCTGACTCAACAAACATACCGTGAAACACAACGGCTGGCCTAAAGGATCATTCAATAGCGCTGCCTGTCTTGTCGTTCAGCACTAACATTCCTTCAACTCTGATTCAGATCCACGTGTGCACTTCTCACTCTGGATTCACCTTCACAGATTCAGCTTCACATCCTTCCAATCTGGGGCCCAGTCACCGAATGCCCACCTCATTCTCAATCCCCCAGATCTTGCATTCACACGTGACTAACTCACTCTTGTCTTTTCACCATATCTCCGTGAAACCCATGCTATCAGGGACTTACAAAATTATGCCAGTCATAACCTGACGTTGTCTATATTTATAACATCATTACAATCACCATCTCATATTCTGTTGCCTAGAATATGTGGAGACCCAACACTTCACACCACAGGTGCATTGTTTGTATGGGGCTACCTTTTAAATAAATATCACATTTAAAAAAATTCCAATAACTACAGGGAAAGCTTGTGAGTGCATTACTTTCAGAGACTTCTCTTTACAGTTTATGCCACACAGTGTTTATATATCATGTCTGTGAACATCTTTGTTTCTCCTGTAATGTCAAAAACAAGACCAAAGTCCAGAAGTGGTCGAACAATCTGAACTTTCTGTTGCAGTTTACAGCTAGTGAATGCGAAGAAGAATAAGAAGAAGAGGAAAACAAACAAACCACAAGCAACGTGAGCATTGTAAGAGCCTCACCTGCTCATACATCTGTGCTCTCTGGAAGTAAGCTTCATGATCTGATGGGTTAACTTTAATTGCAGATGAATAGTTGAAGATGGCCATTGTGGTATCATTTTGTTGTTTGTTAATTTCAGCCCTTCAGAGCAAAAAAACAAACACAAATTAAGTTCCATATTTATTGCTTTTAAAATTAAAATCTGAATGTAAAAATTACATTTGAAGTAAAAACAAGTTCAGTTTAGTCTACAAAATCATACAATAAAGTCACATTTTGAATGGTAACAAAATGTTTAACAGAGAAATAGAAATTCCTCCAAATGTGTTTGATCATTCAGTGCATCTTGATTTTCCATGCTACAGGACTTAACATGTATTCAGATGAGAGAATATAAAGTTAATAAATTGCACTACTCTTTCTCAATAAAATCACATTAACTGTGCAAGACATCCTTTTGTCCACCATTCTGTGCCATGACTTGCCTTTGGTCAACTAAATTCCTAACAACTCCACTGTTTTTTAGTAAATGAAAGAACTGGTTATCAAAAAACTATTTGATGTATAATCTCTCTCTCTCTCTCTCTCTCTCTCTCTCTCTCTCTCTCTCTCTCTCTCTCTCTCTCTCTCTCTCTCTCTCTCTCTCTCTCTCTCTCTCTCTCTCTCGTGTGTGTGTGTGTGTTCCCCCCCTCCCCCCACCCCCGATTTGTCTGTCAGTTGTTATACCTTGTTCTTCTCTTCTTCCCTTTATCTCCCAATGAAGTATAGGCCCTCAACCAACTGACACCAAGTTGTCCTAGCCTTGGTTATTGTAAGCAGCTCCTCCCCCCCCCCTCCATGTCCACTCTGTAGCTCCCTTTACCATGTTTTTGGTTGCATTAATTTCTATGCCCCTGTGGGTTCCAGCGCAAAGACATTCTTTTACACTGTTCTCAGGTTTTCTCCATGCATGTCCTTTCCAATGCCAGCATCTTTTCTTAACCTCTTTATTCAGTGGAATTTGTTTGGTTCTCTCCAAAGTCTAAATGTAATTTCTAATTTTATAAACAAACTGGGGTTATATTTGGAACGTAACAGCTGAATTGTTGTTAAATGGTTAGTGTACTTGAATACAAAAACACTCTGGTAAGAGCTATGTGACTATCTATACAGATGTCATGCTCCAGAGGTCCCAAAAGTTAGCATCCTTTGGATATTTTCTTCAGATTAGGCCGTATTTTGGGAAATAAACAGGCAGATAGACTGGCTGGTTCTGCACCATTTGGTGGTGAAATGGTGCATGGCAAGCTAGATGTTGTAAGGGTCTCTGGCAGTGAGTGAACAGTGCAGAGACACAAACAAATCATCACAGTTTGAGGAGAAAGGTGCTGAAAGGACTGACCATGGACTTTGGTCAATGCCCACTGCTCATCAGAAAGATGAGACAGATATACAATCAGACTCCTACTGGTTCCATCAAAACTGGAACTTTGTGCTTGCTGCTGAAGATGGGGACACAGCGCTGATGAGAACATCCTGAGTGCTGTAACGTAGATTCTTAGTTCAAAATTCAACAAGTGGTAAGAGGTTAAATCATCAGTAGTAGTCTCCTTCTCAAGTGGTAAAGCTATTTGCCTCCCTCTCTCAAGGTCATGGGGTGAGTTTCAGACTGTCTTTCAGTTTTGATTTGATTTGGTTTGATTCAAGAATCGACATCACAGCACTCAGGGCAGTCCCATAAGTGCTCTATCTCCATCTTCAGCAGCCAGCAAAGAGTTCCGATACTAATGGTGCCAATAGCATTCTGATTAAACATCCGTCTTGCCTTTCCTCTGAGCCTCGAGTATCTGCCAGAACCTCTTGTCACTCTCCGCTACAACAGTCTCACCAGACTGGGGTGATCCATCTGCTCCTCTGAACTGTACACGCTCTCCCACAAGGCACTAACCACGTCTGCCTTATCATGTATCAGTATTCCACCAAGTTGTGCAGAGCCAGCCAGTCTGTCCGCCTGTTCATTTACCAACACAATGGCGTAACCCGGTGAAAAAATCCAGACAATACTCCTCACCCGTGTCCTCCGCAGCGAAGCATGCCACTTTTTACGAAGCATACCTGTTCTGATCTTCCTCAGCATGCTTTCTGAATCAGTTACAATCACGATGTGTGTGTGTGTCGTGTTCTCTAGCCAGCCAAAAGCTGCAGTGACCGCCTCCACCTCCATTCTTAAGCTGGATGTTGTGATATCATATGCTAGCTCTCCTGCACCAAACGTCGACCATTAACTTTTGCTAAGAAACCCCAAGCACTTCTTTTGCCTCTTGACACTGAACCGTCTGTGTAAATGATCAAATTCTCTGAGCGAGCATTATCTTGAATTAATTGCTGAATTTCCACCTCTGTAGCACCTGCTGGCCAGTCTCTGCATTCCCGGCTCAGCGTGATTATGACTTTACACAAGTCTGACTGTTCAGGTGGCATTTTGACCCACTCCTCTCCTCGCCTAATGTTCTCAAGGATGCAAACCTGTGTGATTGTGTCTTCTGCCTGAGCCATCCATGACCTCCCTCTTATCAGCCACTGACCCTTAACTGCACCCAGAGCTTCATGCAGAGGGTGGTCTGTGTCTGCAGCCACCCTGAGATATGACTTCGCCTGCAGGACCTTGTGCCTACCTGCAACCGTTGGCACACCAAGGATGTATTGCTTAAACACCACTGAGGTGTTTCTGGTGCAACCCAGAATGACCCGCATAGTTGCGTTCTGTATGCACTCTAGATTGTCCATCTGACTCTTTGAGATGCTAAGCAGTCCCAGGCCATAATCAACCATTGACAGGATCAGGTGCTGATATAGTGTTATCCTTCAGTTTCTAAGTGTAGGTGCTTTACCCCATAATCAAAAAGTGACTGGTAAGTATGGCAATGCCTCTCCACAACTCGCGATCTCCAAGAGTAGATAGTGCGTTTCCCCAAAAATAAGACAACTAAAAAATAAGCCCTACAATGATTTTTTCATGATGGAAATAATATAAGCCCTAACTCGAAAATAAGCAGCCCTAGTTAAGACCATTAACCAGACGGTTGGATTTCATTTGTTCACTGAAGCATACGAAGGACATATTGAATTATAAAGTAATTAACGTATAGTCATAAGCTTTAATAAACAATTTTTTTTTACATTAATGTCTAAATAAATAATCATATAAATATAGATAGATTTCCCCTGAAAAAAAAAGACATCACCTGAAAAAAGGCTTAAGGCTTCTTTTGAAGAATAAAACTAACATAATACCCGACTTATTTTCAGGGGTACATGGTAGCACAGTTCATGTGCTCACACCTTTCTATGTCATTATAAAAATATGCCAAGAATCTTCATGAGTTGTCTTTCTCCAACTCTCCTTCCATAAATATTTCCATTTGTCCCAATATGTTCTAGTTTCTTCTCATAATATGGTCAAAAATTACTAAAGTCTCTTTCTGATGTTTGTGACGAGTTTGGGTACTAAGCCCTTTGTAAACATGTGGATTACTTATTTTGACTGTCCAAGGTATATTATGTAATCTTCTGTAAAACCACACCTCAAAGACCTCAGAAAATGTTTAGCCTGTTTACTAATTGTCCTAGATTTAATGCCCTAGTTTTAAGCAGCATGCAAGAGTTCTTGTTGCTTACCTCTAATAACAGGGATTTTAAACAAACTAATACAAAGTCTCCTCTTCTTATGACTGAGTTTCCTTCTGACTAACAGACTGTAAGCCGAACTGGTCATAGGTCACATTTATATTTTTCAAAACTATTTCATTCAAATATGTTATATAAATTGTACACAAAATACAAAAATTAAATCTTTGAACAGTGCGTTATGTACTTAATGTGAAAAATATTTAATGTGTAATCTACTGCATCAGCTCAAGAACTTTTTGACCCTACCATTGTAGTTATCTTTCTTTATTTACAATTGTTATTTATTTATTTTCAATTTTTGATGCATTAGCCTTTAAGAGTGAAAATATCCGCACATGAAAAAAAGCAATAAATAACAATCAATTATACATACATAGATCTATGTGCTCCAGGATGGTGTTTATTCTTGGTTAAGATCAACTTAAGATCATCTAAAGCTGCAGCTTTCCTGTCCTGCAAGATAAACAGCAGATGCCTGTGCCAGTAAGCATCTAGCAAGTCTGATTCCATGTCAATTGCCCTGAAAAAGTTGGATTCATAATTTCGTGACTCAAAACTATTGAGTACTCTGCAGTAAGAAGGCTATTATCTTCATACACATTTATAGTTGATGTGTTAAGTAAGTAAAGTAAAGATCCCTTGTCAGGCCTTTAGGCGCATTGGGCATATGAGAAGAGCACCTATAATATGGGTAATATGGTGAGCATTACGCCGGCCATCTTTACTTCCCCAGGAAAAGTTGATGTGTGTTAATATAATAAGTGGTGCAAAACTGAACATAATATCATATCATAATCTGCTTGTTGTTCTTTCACATTTATTGAAAGGAAATCTGAAGACACAAATACAGATCATCTTCCCATCAAAATTCAATACAGTAAAACAGGAAAGGTCACACGGTAAATAAAAAACTATTATTCTCCTTCGATAAGTCAAACTGGCAAGCTTTTCAGGTAGATATGGGAAAAGTAATTCACTGTGATATGGAAGATCATGATGTGGATATCTTTGCTAAAAACATTACAGAGAAAATACTTCAGAAAGCTGCAAAATGGATCCCACATTCTAATATGCCTCCATCCATAAACCCTAATCCCCACAAAAATATACCAAAATAAGCGGCACGACAACCCAGTGCAAACAATACAAATTATATATCAATCAAATAAATAATTATGTGATATCATCTTCTTCATCAGCATTCTGAGCCCTTGAGGTTCATTGCTGCAGATAACACCTGCCTCCATTTATCTCTCTGGTTGGCCTTTTCTTTCCATTTGGCGACACCAAGTGTTTGCAGGACTGTCTGGACATTATCTCTCCATCCTCTTCTTGGTCTGTCTCGTGGTCTACGACCATTCATCTCCCTCGTGTATATAGTTTTTACCTCCCTGTCCTCTGAAATTCTTTCAATATGCCCCAGCTATTTTAACCTATTAGCTCTCATGGTGCCAATGATTTAAACAGATGATGAATTTCATTGTTGCAACACCAAGATCAATACATTTAAAACATTGATTAGACCAGTCATTTTATATGCCTCTGAAACTTTGAGCACAACTAAAAGAGATGAAGGATTTTTACAAGCTTTTGAAAACAGAGTATTATGACGGATCTTTGGACCTATCAAAGATGAAACATGGGGAATAAAGTTGGAAAAAAAAAATTTATGTGATAGATAAATAAAAAATACATACTCTGAGAACTCGATTAACACTATATATCCCAATTATAACCCCAGGGGTTAAACAGGATATTTCTGAAAAATTACTATGACTACCCAAGGACACTGATAGTTTTATTCCTCGCCAAATCCAGGTCCACTTGAGATCTAGTATGTGTAGAAAGTTGAATTGAGAATCGACATCACAACACTCCCATTAGTGCTCAATTCTTATCTTCAGCAGCAAGTGCAGAGTATGCTTCAGTTCTGTTGATTTTCATAGAATTTATTTTGATGTGGCCAGAGTTTTTAACCATTCTCTCTCTCTTGTTATTACCACACATTCTGTCTTATCTTGATTGATAAGTCCCTATTTTAGCTGCTTTATTAAAATAATTCAGTATTTTTGTTTGTGTCTAGTTCATTATCTCTTACTACATCTATGTTGCTTTCTTGTTGCAGGATTTAAATGTGAACTCTTCACAGAAACAAAAATATGCTTACATTTAACAGAATGTCATCTAAACACATATATGTTATTATGTACGCACCTGTTCAGATCCATTTCTGCCTTTTTCAATTGTCCTATCTGTACACGAAAACATAATCAGCAAAGAGTAAAATAAATAAAATAAAATTTTAAAAAAGTCAAATACAGCACAGAGTGGACATTTGAGAACAGAGTGGACATTTAAGAACAGAGTGGACATTTAAGAACAGAGTGAACATTTGAGAACAGAGTGGACATTTGAGAACAGAGTGGACATTTGAGAACAGAGTGGACATTTGAGAACAGAGTGGACATTTGAGAACAGAGTGGACATTTGAGAACAGAGTGGACATTTAAGAATGATTTAAATCAACGTATGTGCACATTGAGCCTTTCCACGCATGATCAGTCCTCCAGTGCAGCAGCCACTTCAAGGTACCTCTACTAACTGTTCTCACAAAGGGTTGCTTATAGTGCCTCTTGTCTTGTCCTCAAACATGGCATAGACAAGCTTCACCAAGGTTTACACACAGGTCACACAATCGAGTTAGCATCAGAGATTCATCAGTGTCTGCCAATGTAGTCTGTACAGTGCTGATGAAATTAGCTTTATTGTTAATTCTTCCTGTATGCACTTATGCATTACTTGCCAGTCGGTTGGCTCATTCATTACCTTTTACTCCTCCATGCCGAAGTGTGTAGATCCAGGTGATGAAGGTTAATTCTGAACTCTTTCTACTCATTCAGAGCACTGATTACCTGTTGAAATTTTCTGAAGAATGTTCAAGGAATCAAATATGATTAATGCCTGTTGTGGCCGCTTGTTCTGCTACTTATGCAAGTACTCTGGAGCAGTGGTTATCTCATGGTTGTGCTTGATGCTGCCCAGCAAGCACCACTGTCCAATGTTATTTTTTTTCTCATCCATCATCTTCAAGTACTTCAATTCCCATAATAGATGTCTTTTTTTCTTTTTTTTTTTTCTCCAGCTTATTGTGGTTTTTGGATAGTCATACAAGATTTACAATGTGGAAGACAATGGGAGCCTCATCATGTGGTATCTTAAAGATAGCAGTCAGTGTATCGTAGCCACCTTTCATTGTAGAGGCAACACCCTGACATACCAAAACTAGACATTAACATAGGGAACAATAAAAACAATTCCAAATAAGGTACTACTGTCTTTACTGTCTTTATTTACCACATAAGACAGGGGATCTTGAGCCAAAATATTTTTTTGGCCAAATAACTACAGCATTCACCAAAAATTGTACAGGTTACGATTTTTTCATTTGTCTCTGATAGAAATGATCCCTTGACCCAACCAAAGATTCTAACTTAGGTCTGCCAAATGAGAGGCCAGCTAATCGCTTGATCAGTCACTCCTTTTACAGTCAAAGCATTCATCAATTAGTGCCTAAACAGAATATAAGAAATTAGATGATATGAAAGTAATTGCTAATGCTGCGCTATTGGATGAGTGCTAAACAAATTCAAGTATTATTAAAAACAAAATAAGTGTGCCTGAATATTATCTCTCCATCGTTTTCATGGTCTACAACAGTCTTTCCGTCTTCTTGGTCTACAACCTTAACAATGATTATTATTACCTTTCTGTAAAGTGCACCACGCCGACAGAAGTCAAATGCTGTGTGTCTGTTTGTTGTTTCATCAGAACCACTCAGCTTCTCAATTTCTTGAAGAATAATCTGTTATCAAATATAGGAGGAGAAACACATTATGCCAGCTCAAGAATATCTGTTAGCATTTTATAATTGACATTTGAGTATTGCAATGACTCTATTTACATTAAGTTTTGGCTTCAGTCACTTGCATTCTCCTCAACCGAACACTGACGAATAATTTAACAGGTGAAGAATAGACTATAAGAATGACACAACTCGTCGACACTATTAATCATTCATACAACAACTGATACTTCGGTCAGTGTATGTCGAGGATTAGACATAGTCTAGATGATCACTAATAGCAATACATCAAACAGAATCATCATGGGCCTCATTCTCGCATCAACGTTTGTACTTAACGCTAGACATAGCATTGTTGCTTCGTTGACCATTTCGATGCGACAGGTGCGGTCCGACGACCTTGACTATGAACTTACATCAAAATGAAGGCAGTCAGAAACGCACAGCCCTGATGCAGTTCAGAAACTCTTCTGCAATCTTCTAGCAGTCAGAAGAAGAAATAGAAGAAAAAGGAGATCAAACAGAATAACGTTATTTTCACAGGAAAACACAAATGTACACGGCAGTGTGAAATGACAACTTCTCTCGATGAATAATCATAATACGTTCAACCTTGAGTGACTACACAAGTCTGACAAAACTGATAGCCGGGTTAGGCATGAGGACTTGCAGCCAAATCTGATGCACTCCATCATTTATAACTTGATTCTTTCCACAAACACTTTCTCCACTGAAGCAAATACATCGGACCTGAACCCAAACAAAACTGACTCCTCCAGATCTTTCTAGGCATTAAATAATCTTTCTCACCCTGCTCTAGATCGCCCACATGTGTGATTCTCATGCTTTCCTATTTCGCACAGGTTAGTATGGCCAATATTTTTCCGTGTGCCTTGCCTTGTCTGTGATCTTTTCACCCACTCAAGTACATAATTCATGTTCAGTGTCTGACCTCATAAATTATTAACTCTTTGAGTCCCAGAGGGTTTAGCATCACAGGCCCAAAGGGACTCTATTTATAAAGGCTGGATATCTGGGGGAACCTCTGGGCCTGGTCTATTTAGAAGCATCTCAAAATATTCAACCCATCTGTCCATTTGATCTTTAGTGTTAGTAAGTAAATTATAATTACAGCAAAAATATAAGTGCTTTAACTAGAAATAAATACCCAGTTTTTCTTTTTCATTATGTCTGTGAAGTTTAGTTTTCAGAGTTGATTTTTGAGGCCAAATGGGTTTCATTGCAATGTGTCATAACCAGATCAGTCTTTTAAGTCTGTATTCTGCTGTTTGAAACAGAAAATGCTTATGCCTCTTTTCTGCTGCTGATGTTTCTTCTTCTTCTTCTTCTTCTTCTTCTTCTTCTTTTTGATCTTCTTCTTCTTCAGCATTCCATGACTTTGAGGTTCACTGTTGTAGATATCACCCACCTCCATCCATCTTTGTGATTAGTCTTCTCATACTATTTGGTAACTCTAAATGTTTATAGGTCTCTCTGTATATAATCCAGTAATTAATGGTGATTTAAACAGATTATGATTTTGTTGTTCCTTACTCTCTACTCTACACTGTTTGCAAATTTAGATTTAAACTCTTACATGACATGCACCATGCTATAAATGTGTAAAATGTTAAAGTTTTATGGTTTCCTATGATCAAACATGTAAAAAAAAAATTCACCTGGTATATCTGTCTGTTTTCTGGTGTATCCAAGATTGGTTCAATTTCAGACACATCCTGAGACAGGATGTTACTGACCACTTCTGTGCATCTGAAATGACAGGTAAACAAAACTGTTATCAAACATATTTAATTTTATGAAGTATTAGGAGACCAATATTTTTTTAATTAAATAAGGAATGCAAAACAAAAGACAGAACTAGAAAGAGACACAGGTTAAATTTTAGGAGGTAATAATCAACATCACATACTCTGGGCATTCCAGTAAATGCTCTGTCCTCATCTCCATCAGACAGCACAGTCCAATACCAATGGTGCCAAATGAAGTCCTAAACATTTATCTGTCTTTTCTCCTAGCAGTGAGTGCATATCAGAGACCGGTCACTCATAACTTTGTCAATTTTTTTAATCTGTAGGGATATGTTCACTCTTTTATGTTGTTCATATGATAAAAGGTCTTACCCCACATCAACCTTGTCATATATCAGTGAACTCTCATTGGTGCAGAACCAGCCCGTTTGTGAACATGTGAATTTTCTAACACAACCATCGTTCTGGAGACAAGATTCATAGGACACTCACTACTCTCAGCCTCCCAACATGGGAAACCAGTGTTACATGTAAATAATAAGTATGTTGATTAATATGACTTAAACCACAGCTGAATAAAGAGCAAAATGGATACTAAAGAAGTATACACTAAGTGTAAGCAAGATAGCAAGAGACCCCAAAAAAGATTTGATGGAAGAATGGGATCAGAACCAGATCCTAAGAAAAAGATTAACATTACAGCCTGAAGCTAGTCCACTACTGGAGGTAGAAAAATATAGGTAATAACTGTGCTTGTAATAAACATTCTTCACTGTTGATGCAGCTGAAGGAGCTCTTCGTAAAGAAGTGGGTTTCGATGGTGAAGAGGTCCAGCCATTTGCCTCATGCCCTGAAGGTCACTAGTTAATTGTCAAGCTGCATCATTCAGTTCAGTTGAGTCTTTATGGGAGCCTATTTACAATTTCAGTCAGCAAATTGATCAGCACAGTCTGGTGAGAGTGATACAGCAAGGCCCACGAGGGGCTCTGGCCAACATTTGACGCTCGGAGGAAAGACAAGATGGACATATAATAAGACTGCTACTAGCACTATTGGTATTGAAACTCTGCGTTGGCTGCTGAAGATGAGGACAGCGCAAGATGAGGACAGAGCACCATGTGCTGTGATGTCAGGTGGTGAATCAAATCAAATCAATCAGTTCACAAGTGCATTTTGTTCAGAGATCCAGGTAGACACTAAAAAATTGGAGTTGATGCTGTGTGCTACACTGTTTACTGGCAGGAGACTAGGCAATGTTCAAAGAGAGACTGAGACAGATAGGTTAACATCTGGTGCAACAAAGTTAACCTTGTCATACAACATTTTTTTGTTTGGTTTATTCAAAGAAAAAAGAGGAAGAAATGCAGTTACATACAGTAGACTCAAGAGAAGTTAATTGTTAAGTTTCAGACTAAAAGTGGACTTTGAGAGTGTAGCAGTCAAAATTGTACTACACTGGGGAACAAATTTGTTTACTCTTAAAAGTGTTGGTGACATGTTGTGTTATCGTTTACAGCGAGGCTCTGGTATCTGCACCTTCTGACCAACACGTCTGAATTCCACTAATCCTAAACAGTCGCCTCTTACAACATGCTTGTTAAGGAGCAGGGGCCCATTATTTTTTTTTTTTTTTTTTTTCAACCAAACTAGGGTCACAGAACCCACATGTGGCATCCTCTGGAAATTAACCCACATGGGGCATCATCTGGAAACTAACCCACATGGGGCATCATCTGGAGTCTAACTCGAGGTTTTAAAATAAAATAAAAAAACAATAGAACTATATTCACGCAACTTAGAGCAGCCCAGTCTGTCGAATAGCAGCACTTTAAAGAACTTACGGTTTTTCATTTTCTTCTCTATCAACTGGCTCTTGATCTCGAAAATCCACATCTACGTGATCAGAATCATCCGGGGTGGGTGGGAACACTTGATCAAACCAGCGGTTCCATATTTTACGAACCCAGTCTCTTTCATCTTCCCCAGCTCTAGAATGGGCACAGAAAATTATGAAATAATTTTTATTTTTTTTTATTTTTTTATTTTAGTAGTCGTCCACAGTAAAAAAAATGCCTTAAAAGTCTATGGTTAAGCACCAGCAAGAAGATCAAAATTAGAATTTTGAGAGAATACATCTTCCCTGTAGCAACATACATATGTAAGTCGTGGACTATCTCCCAGTCCTTAAAAAAAGAATAGGGGCTTTTGAGCTGAAATGCTATAGAAAGATTCTCAGAATCTTGGACAAAGAAGAGGAGAAATACTGACATCTTGAAAGATCTGAACATCAAGTGAGATTGGCTAATAAACAGCATCCTGTCTCAGAAGCCGAAATATTTTGGTTAATTCAATTGCCACGACAGATTGGAAACAATTATAGCAGAAGGCATAGTACCAGGAAGAAGGGGGCAGGGGCCAACCAATACGAAGATGGGCACAGGCTATAAGTGACTCCTTGAGTATGAAAGTATATGAGGCAGGAGGGCTGGCGAAAGATCGAGTTTCTTTCATGCAGACCATGATGAGAGTGATGTTCAGCAAAGGACCTGCTACATGACGATGATGAGTGGCCCACATTCAATCTCCAAAGGAAAAAATTTTCCCCAGACAGGAACCACTCTGGAGTTTTAGTAATAAGTTTAGATAAGTCAACATCACAGCACGTAGAGTATTCCCCTATGTGCTATGACCTTATCTTTAGCAGCCAGCATAGACAATATATCATAACTTGTAACTGTAACGTAAGTGTTATCACAATCAACGTCTTGGCACACCAGGCATCCCCATGCGTACTCAGTCCTCTGATGCAGCAGCTACTTCAAAGTACCTCTAGTGATCGTTTCCATGAGGAGTTGGTTACAGTTAACTCCTGTCTTTACCTCAAAGACGGCATAGACTGTAATATGTAACATGGAAAGCCTGAATCTGAGTTGAGTTGAGTGACATCCCAGCACTCTGGGCATTCCCATGCTAAAATGCTAACCTACACGGTTAATGACAACAACACTAGCCATGTGGCCCTAAATCAACTCAAAGACCACCTCCCACAGTGCCCCCCCCCCCCCCCCCCCTCAACCACCTCTAAAAAAATACTGAATACAGGCATTACTGGCAGTTTTGATTTAGCTCTCGATATTCAGATTGTGAAGAATGTCTTATTTTTCCTTTTCTTGGTCCATGAAGTTCTAAAAATCCTCCTGTAACATGAAGTTCTAAAAATCCTCCTGTAACATGAAGTTCTAAGAATCCTCCTGTAACATGAAGTTCTAAAAATCCTCCTGTAACATGAAGTTCTAAAAATCCTCCTGTAACATGAAGTTCTAAGAATCCTCCTGTAACATGAAGTTCTAAGAATCCTCCTGTAACATGAAGTTCTAAGAATCCTCCTGTAACATGAAGTTCTAAGAATCCTCCTGTAACATGAAGTTCTAAGAATCCTCCTGTAACATGAAGTTCTAAGAATCCTCCTGTAACATGAAGTTCTAAAAATCCTCCTGTAACATGAAGTTCTAAGAATCCTCCTGTAACATGAAGTTATAAAAATCCTCCTGTAACATGAAGTTCTAAAAATCCTCCTGTAACATGAAGTTCTAAGAATCCTCCTGTAACATGAAGTTCTAAGAATCCTCCTGTAACATAAAGTTCTAAGAATCCTTCTGTAACATGAAGTTCTAAGAATCCTCCTGTAACATGAAGTTCTAAGAATCTTTCTGTAACATGAAGTTCTAAGAATCCTTCTGTAACATGAAGATGCAATAATGCTAAACAAGCTTTAACATGATGTGATGTTGTCTGTTCTAATTCTAAGAAATCATGCTTCAAACTATGTCACTCTTTAGCTTTCTCTATAACAGTTCAGGCCATGTTTTGGCTATTTCTGTTTGTAAAGTGTACTTACCTTCACTTTCTGAAAAAAAAGAATGTTTTCTAATTTAAAAAAATACTGACAATTTGCAGTCTGACTATCGAGGAGAACTGGGAGGATAAACAGCATCATTTCTTGTAACTTAAATTACTTTGCCGAATAAAGAAGACAAAGCACACAAAATATTTAAATCTTGAAGAAAAAAGAATAGCTGAAGGAAAAAAAGCAGCAATATTTCCATAAGATTAATCACTTACGGCATTCTCTTTCTAGTTTTATATTCATCAAAGTTCAGTAGATTGGGAAGACTAGCTCTGTAGACTCGGATTTTCCTTAAAAATAAAAATTAGTGTATGCATTGGCATAGGCATAGGCACACACGCATGCAGGCACACACATACACACACACACACAAATACATACATATACACATATATATATATATATATATGTGTGTGTGTGTATTTGTATATATATGTATTTATATATATATGTGTGTATGTATGTGTGTGTGTGTATATATATATGTATATACATATATATGTATGTATGTATATATATATATATATATATATATAGTATATATATATATATATATATATATATATATATATATATATATATATATATATATATATATATATATATATATACTAGATTTAATTGCCCAGCTTCACCCGGGATAGTGAAAGAAAGTCTTATTCTCCCGGCCTCTACCTCATCTTAGTCTCCCCAGCTACCATATCTTTAGTCATTGCCTGCAAGTGCAGCCCAGGGATCCCCTGTAATACTAACACCAGTATTTAACAGTTTAAGAGGCAGACAAATGTTTTGTCTTACGTACGTATGCAGTTTCAAAAAAAGATAACAGCAAAATATAATTTTTTGAAATTACCTTTTCAAAGGAAGTAATAGGGGGAAAAAATTCAAAGTGATGTAACTCTAGTGAAAGTTTACATTTGCTGATTGTCGCAATAAATAAAGAAATGCATAACAACCTGGATGCCAATGTGACTGTTAAAAACTGTAGCCATAACAGTCTTGTGTGCAAAATATGGGTATATGAAAGGGAAGTTCATTAATGAACGTAAAACTTGGTGCGGTGCAGTACAAGATTGAACAGGATGTGAAAATATAGAGGCTAGACTTGTGCACTATGTGTCACGCTGGGTAACTGAATACAATGTTTATATTGCTAGTGGGTACTGCCGCAATAAGAGGTTTTCCAGCATGAGGGATTTCCAAGGTAATTTGACAGGCCGCAGACGAGAGGTCTTGATAGTTTTCACAAAGATGTGTATCAGCTTCGATGGTCTCTAGTGACAGTGGACTCAACATACAGGAGTCGTCGGAATGACAGGCACGTTAATGGTGAAGGTGGATTTGTGGGATCGGGTACTTATTGCCTGTAACAACCACTGGACATAGTGTGACAGGAGAGGTCCTTCGGAGCAATGTCCTGTATACATACCTGTGTAGGAGAAGGAATGACTGTATTACTGTATCAAGCATGTCTCGTGATGCAATCCATTTTATGATATCCAAATATAGTGTGTATTTTTACAGTGAACCTGTGTTCAGAGTTGTATGTTATTGTTGAGCTGGAGTTGTCACCGGTAAAATTGACATCACTGAGTGACCCCCTAAACTCTTGGCAAGTTTCCTGGTGCGGCATCATGCTATCTAGTGCTCCTCCAGCAAACTTCGTACACGTCAAACGGCAGATGAAAATTTGACCTGTGTACTGGTCGTGGTTTTTGCTGCATCAGTGGACTGATCAGGGGATTTCCAATGTGCAAAGACGTGGATTGTCTTCTTCTTCTTCTTCTTCTCGTTCACCAGCTGTAAACTCTGGCAGAAAGTTCTGGTTGTTCGTCCACTTCTGGACTGCAGTCCTGTTCCAGAACCTGAGTGTTGCATGTGCATCCATTTTACAGATCTGACTCATTTGTATGCAGACTGCTGGTTCCTTGCCTCTCAGGCAGATGCACTCTGACTTAGAAGAAAGCACCCAATTAGCCAATTCTTACGACGTGCTTTTTGGGTAGGCAGTGGGTCTATTCTTGTTTTCCCTATAACAGGGCCCTGGAACCCACACGGGGAACCTTGATTGTGAAAACATAACCTTCAAATTAGAATAAAATTAGACAGATCACATTCAATTTCAAATATCAGTGACTTTAAACAAATCCATACCATGGCACCTTCATCTCTCTTTCAATGACCCTGTTCAGCTGTGGCAGAGATGCATGTTTTAAGAGCTTTCCTGCTGGCTTGACCAACATTTTCTCCACTGCTTCAATCATGGCAATGTCCAGTTTTTTATCATGTCTTCTCCTCTTTTTACTGATGGTGAAAATAATTTTATGAGCAAACTTAAACAAGGGACAACAATATAAAAAACTTAATGAATATTCAACAAGATTGCATACGCTCCATCGATGCTTGACTGTGCGAGGGACTGGCTACTGGTCACAAAAGTACCCAGAGTTAATCCGAAGACTGGTCTGCGACCCGACATAGTCCTACACTCTGTGGAGAAACAACAGCTAGTCCTGATTGAGTTGACCGTGCCGTATGTCGCGAATGGATGAAAGTCGTATGTATAAGCTCGAGAAATACAGTGACTTCGCGGCTGGTCTGAGGAGAGATGAAGCGTACACAGTAAGAATCTTTGCCATCAAAGTAGGCGCAAGAAGTCTCATCTCCACTTCCATGTACAATGTGATAAAGCAGATGGACTTGTGAGGAAACGAGCACAAAAGATCACTAAAACAACTGGGCGAAGCTGCTGAAAGGGCTTTGAGTTGGCTCTAGACACAATGGAACGTCATTGGGAATGGGCCTCGGTAGGCTGGTTCTGGTATCTTGTGGAAAAGAAAGTCTTATCCTTTGTCCATCGTGTCTGAATTGTCTGCCAGTTCCCTCTGCCAATTGCTAACAAAGTCTAACATGCACCCGATAAACCAACCATAAGCTTGCCACTTGGTCATCAAGGTAGACCGACTGATCTAATTGGCTACCGCAGCAACTATGTAAATAAACTTTGAATCTCACAGTACCAATTGCATAGTCACCAATTTCGTCTTGTCCCGGTTTCATGAACTCAGGTGGGCCCACCCTCTGAAATTGTCTAGGAGCTCATGGGCCGAAACAATTGTAGACAAGGGATCACTTCTAGTGATGATTTGTAGACTCCTGCTGTACATGCTCCCCTGTGAAGTTTCTTCTTAAATGCACTAGCAATTAAAAACATGAAGTGATGTCCTCGAAATGTGGAGATAAGGAAGTATAGGCAGCATTTCATGTGGGTTGGGTGGGCGGTTGAAAGAAAAGGGGGAGGGGGGAGCATATACAGAGGTTCTCCACTTTTCATGCAGGTAATTGTGTTCAGTGGTTACCTTAGGAAGCTGACAGCTGATTGTCAATATAGGTCTCTATTTCTATTTATGATTTTATAATTTTCGTGACCTTTGTTTAGTCAACAGTAATTTTCAACCTTCAGTGTCAAATTCATATGGGAAGAGTCAATACATGTACCTTGGGATGTCTGTTACAGTGAAGGAATTAGCATGCATAGGTATGCCAAATGTGCAGTGACACAAAATCTAAAAACAAAACATCATCTTCCACCGTTAAACACTTTTTTTTTTAAATTCAGCTGCTTTTGCTAATTTTCTTCTTGTTTCTGTATGTGATAAACAGATATTCAGCATCTATCTTGCACATGTTACATCGAATAAATTAAAAATTATTTTATGTTAGCATTAAACAGTACTTACATGTTTGGTAGGATCACATATTTCCTACCAGCTTCTAGTGCCTTCTCTGCTGGTGTCAGTTGGGTAACTGCTCGAGAAGAACAGTATAATACAATTAAATGGTGCTGCACATTTTTGTAATAGCACTGCTACAAACACAGAGTTTCTGCTGTAACTAAGAGAAAGAGGTGGGGAAAAAAAACAAGAAAAAAAGCAAGAACAAAGAAAGAGACAAACAGGTACTTGGGGGACACAGACACGAAAAGAGATACATGACAGAAAAGCAGACAAGACAGGCAGACATGAAGACAGGCAAGCAGCAGACAGATAGGCATGCAGGCAGATGGACAGACGGACCTTAATCATGCATAAGGGAAAGTAAGGCAGCTTAGTTGACAGACAGTGGATGAGGAGTAAGAAGGGAAGAGAGAAAGATTCAAGAGGCAAGCAGACAAGAAGGCAGGCAAACATAAAAGCAGGCAAGGAAGCATAATAAACAGACAAGTGGTTGGGGAGTTTTAAAAAAGGGGAAGGGGGAGAAACAGACATGCAGGCAGACAAGCAACAGACAAACAGGATGACATACATGCAGACGAAGGGTAGCAGTCAGGCAGGCAGGGAGGCAGACAGGCAGGCAAGGAGGCTCTAAAGTAGCTGTACGTTTTACTTTGTCTCCATTACACAAATTAAGTATTAGTGTTTTAACTAACCTGCTTCTGAACTGGTTTTTGTTTCAACAGCCAATGCTATGACATCAATGTTCGTAGTAGCTGGGATGCTCACAGCCTTAGACATTTAAAGATAACTGTGTTCATGTGATTACAATATCTTGTTTCAACTATCATACAACAGACAGACAGCTTTATATTGTTAGCACATAGTATATATGGTATATAAAAATATATATATAGATATATATAAGCTGGAATCGAAAACCGCACCCTTGCATTACAAAGCACGTTCGCAACACCTAAGCCACAGACGCGGACTATATATATATTACACATTTACTGTGGCTTATATCCTTATAATAATAAATTAATCCTTTAAATGTAGCAATGAAGGATTACAAATCCACCACCCAAGAAGCACAAGACAAAAACAGAAAACCACAACACTGGGCTACAATCTGGCATTGGTTACATGACAAAAGAAGAATGAAGATTTTTAACTATTAGTATACCAAGTGCCATTTGATGTGGCTCAAATATTACACAAATTTACAAAATTCCATTAATAGCTGAGTAACTGAGAATAATTCCAAATTAACTAATTTGTTTTCCATTCCGGTATTTCTACAAGCCACTTCTGATCATCAAAACTAGGACTGAAACCACTAATGCAATTCAGTAAATGGGCAACAAATGAAATAGTTTGTCCATCTGATGAGAATTTCCTGGTACCAGCTATTACAGAGAGCCTCATTTAAGAAATATAATGTACGTAAAGCAAGGATAAGACTATACAAAATATGAGGACCAACTTGCAAAGCACACAGAAATTTTGTCCAACTCCCCTCACCAATTCATTCTAAAAAGGAGGGGTAGAAGGAAGGGAAAACAAATCATCAGTGTGTTATCAAGTAATGGAGTTCAGATGCAAGCAAACTAAAGCAATGAAATTCAAATTACATTTTTAATTCCATGAACATGCTTCAGAAAATTGCAACAGATAGTCTTGCTCTGAATGGGTAAAATGGATTTGGAAGTAACAATTAAGTTCTATTACCTGGCTTTACACACCTGAGCATGCAGGAGAAAAGGGTAATGAATGAACCAACCAGCTGGTAAGTAATGCACCAATACATGTTGGAAGAAGAATGGACAAAGCAGATATCATCAATGGACTAGGCTGTTGAACAATGATGAATCTCTGATGCTTACATGATTGTATGACCTGGGAGTAAATCTTGGTGAAGTATGTCTATAATATCTTCAAGGCCAAGACAGGAGAAACAATAACCAATTTCTCAAGGGAACAATCAGTAGAGGTGCCTTGGACTGACTGCTGCATCGGAGGACTGAGCACGGATGGGAAGGCCCAATATGCAGTTACATTGATTGTTGCAATGTGGCTTCTTCTAGGGTTTGTCTGGACTCATCACATTGCTGTACTTTCATTCTGTATTATGCAAAGTTAGTATGAACACATCAGACGACAAACACGCCCATCGGCAGTTATCGATTTTATTCACCGATCTAACAGCTGTACTGTCCAGTCACTGCTCTGTATTCTCATTAGTGATCCACTTCTCATTTACCAAAGCAGCTTCAACAACCTCACAACTCAAATGTAGATGTAATTCTGACTGTACATCTTGTTTAGGCCAGCATCTCGCACTTGCAATTTCACACAGCCGAATCTTGCAGTTGGTTTGCGTTCATTCACATCAACACCGCTATGTCTCTCAGCATCCTAAACAATCACATATGGTCAGGCAGTCCGCATTCTTCATAGTCGTTCCTTGGTACTTGACCGCACACATCCACGTTCAAACATCAACTGATTTCCTATCCTTTCTTTGTCCAAACCTAACGTTCTCCTCTCATGTTTTTCCCGTACATCTGTTCACACAACATGGGATTATCAAGACATGCTTCCCTCACTTCTCTCTTGTTTCCCTGGCCATTTGACCTTGTCCCCTGAATAGGGAACTCACTGGGGGATTTTCCTGGGAATTCACTCCATTACATAATGCAACATAACTTCACATTTTTATTACTGATCAGGACCCAAAAATGACTCCTAAAACAGCTGTAATAATGCAGTTTCTGACATGTACAGTAAAATTTAACAGTTTCCACACTAAAGACGCAAACAATAGACTGCACAATTTATTGCCTGGCATATTTAGCTGTATCTCTTCAGGTGCATACTACAGTAACAAGTGATTAAAATGAAGCAAATAGCTGAATTCTAGAAATTGAAACACAAATTCGAGTACATTCTGAACTGTCTGTTTCACCAAGGTAACCGTAAGGTAATGACCTTTTCTTTCTGCCTACAGAGTTCTGGTTTCAACCGGCTGATCGCTGAAGCTTCCGCACATAGGAGTAATCTACGGTTGGCCGAATTGTAAATAATTCAAAATGCATCATCCCTGTTAATGATGTGCCTGAAATTTAGAATATGGCACGCAATTGCTGATGATGGATTTTGTCGACCAGTCACCTGATTCGTTGTTGTTGAGGTGTTAGTGTTCTGCATTGCTTTTACCACCCATAGTGGAATATGTTCAGCAGCCCGTTTTTTCAGTCGGCGATCAGTTCTGCCCACACATGCAGCGTTACAGGTGCATTTAAATTGGTAAATACAGTTAGATCTGGCGTACATCGACACTGGTTCTTTCACTGGTGGCGTAGGAATCATGGTAGTTTTAAATCTCATAACAGGCATGGCTGCGTAAAAGGTTTGACTGACTGCTGTTTTGAGCAGATCATCATGTTGTGCCATTTGTACATTACAAAAAAGCTACCCAGTATATATTGTGTACGGAGTCTAGTCTGGCGCCTCTGGCCTCGCTCATCTACATTCATCATTGAGTTTCTTTTGAATGTTCTCTCTTTGTTAAAGTCATTTTTTATCATTTGTGTGCCTTTTTTTTGATTCTGTGTCTGCTTTTATCTCACCATGTGCTCAAAAAATTGCCTTCTCTCTCTTATAACTACTGATACCAGTATTCTCACAAATTTAACTTTTGAGAAACATTATAAAAATAATATAGCTCCCATTTTTCAACTGGACTGACATCAAAGCAATGTTAGAAATTCCAATTGTTATATTGGTAAGCAAGTAAACAAGCTTCAAAGTCACCTCAACCAAACTAAAGTAAGATATTAAACAAATGCGTTGAGTTAAGTCAAGAATTGACATCACAGCACTCAGGGCATTCTCATGCATGCTCCTTACTCAATCTTCAGCTTCAAGCGCAGAGTTCTAATACTGATGGTACCGGTCACCATATTGAACAAATGTATTTATTTTATATTAAAAACGAAAATTCTAAATTCAGTTAACTCACTTGCGTTTGCTCTTTAATTTCTTGTCTTGCACCAGCTGTTTCCTGTCTTTGCATCTTTTTCTTTGTGTGCTCTAGAATATCTTTCTGCTTTCTTATCTTTGGTTTGGATATTAATTACAAAAGACAAATAAATCACAATCATTCTCTATCACTGCATTCTATAGTTAAAATAAGATAAGTGTCATGCTTTTTTTTTTGGATGCATTTGTTCCCACTTCTGCTTCTTGCATCTGAATCATACTTGTAGGACAATGTCTTTTTTTTTTTTCTTGTTTCTTTCACTCAAAACAGAATATCTATATCTGCAATGTTGTTTCTAGTAGGAACTTAACTATCTTTTTTTAATTCACTCAGTGGCCGGTAAAGTTTGGCTTCCACCTGTGTTTCTCTTGACCAAACGTTTTACCTTAATATGGACAAAATCAGTATTGATTAGGTTATTGCATGTATAGTAGCCATATAGTTGTGGTGGGGTGGGGTGGGGTGGAGTGGGGGTGGGGTGGGAGTGTGGGTGTGGGTGCGTGCATGCATGTGTGGGTGTGTATGTGTGTGTGCATGCGTGCGTACATGTGTGTGTGTGAGAGAGCGAGCAAACTCAACAGAAAGTGGAAAAAAGACAGCTTCATGCAACAAAACCTAATGAAACAGTGTGCGCTGTTTAAATCCTTCTTGACTGAAATCACTATAAAATGAATTTTTGACTGCAGACTTCTCCGTTCTCTCTCCCTTAAATACTTATTTTATGAACCAAATGCAAAGTGCCTTAGAGTTCAGTAATTTGCAAAAAAAAACTAGTCAATGCTAGTCCTCTGTGTTGGCTTATTTGTTTTTGGGCCTTCCTTTTGACATTTCTAATATTCCAATTTCAAGTAAGCTTTATGCCAAATGTTACAGTTACACTATGATAGAACTAGGTATTCGATCATGATTAGAACAGTGGGAGATGGGGGGAGGGGGTGGGTCTGAAGTTACTCACACCCCCAACCACATCATCCTGACCACCTTACATTGTTTCCAGTTAAATAATTGGGTGGTGGGGGGGGGGGGGGGGCGGGAGAGTGCCATCAGGTCCTTTGGTGCCCCCTCCAAGTGAAAGACTGGGGCAGCCGAAGGAGGGGGGGTGGAGCTAAGATCCCATTCCCCCCCCCCCCCCCCCCCCCCCCCACCATGGCCTAACCATATATGGTTCATACTTTTCATATTAGTTCAAATAGAATATTATATTCATTTTGAATTCCACACATTATTATTATTACCGATATTATTACATGTTATTTATTATTAATGTGCTGAATGGCAAATCAATATAATAATATACTTGAAATAATATGAAATGTGTGTCTTCTTCTTCTTCTTCGCGTTCACCAGCTGTATACTCTGGCGGAAAGTTCTGGTTGCTCGTCCACTACTGAACTGCAGTCCTGCTCAGAACCTGAGTGTTGCGTGTGCATCAGTTTTACAGATCTCATTCTCTTGAATACAGACTGTTGGTTTCCTGCCTCTCCGGCAGATGCACTCCGACTTCAAAGGAAGCTCCCCAATTAGTCGACTCTTACGACATTGCTATTGGGGAGGCAGTGGGTCTATTCTTGTTTTTCCCACAATGGGGCCCCGGAACCCACACGGGGGATCAAGAGTGTGATAGCTTCCTTCACTGCTCAGGACAGTTCAGGTAAACCATGGTAGCGCAGTGGAAAAATGTTTTCCTGTCAGCTTGATGGTTTTGGGTTCAAGTCTACACATTGCTGGTTTTCAAAATAATTTCATCTTAGCTAACAGGTTGACCGTTCTTAAAATAGGTACCAGGAAATATTTTAAGAAGTCAAAGCAACTGACAAGTTGCTACTGCACCTGTACCTACTGTACCCCTCAAGTTTCGTCTGGCTTTCCTACCAGTTTGATGGTTTTAGGTTCAAATCTTCACAGTGAAGGTTTTTAAAAACAATTTGATTAGCGACTACAGTTTCGACAATTTGCAGTCTTTTTGGCAATTTCCGTTACCATGGAAACAATTCGAAACTTGTTTGAGAAATGTCGGCTGGGGTTTCGGGATGGGTCCTAATCTCTCATGAAAATTTGCGATTGGTGTGATTTTCACCAGCTATAAACAGCTGAAAACGGCGGGAACGAACCCGATTAACAGCGCATGACTACGACAGCCGGACGTCCTCTGTTTTTCTGTTATATCAGTTTGATTGAAAATAGTGGTAAAGTATTCAAGGTTGGCTTTAGGCCTTAAACATTACCAGACATGATAATGCTAGTTATAATTGAATTCTCCGTCCATTTTTCATTTGTGTATAACATTTCTTTCTTGTCCGTGGCTGTTTAGATTTACAGTGACATTTTTTCAGGCAATCGCTATTATGTGGCTGTGTCTGAGAAAAATTGTCTGCCATCTTGTCCAATGAAAACAAAGCCAAAACGAAAGTTGCGCAGTTTGGTTGCGCAGAGAAAACTTCTTGTTTCTCAGACACAAGTTTTAGCAGCTGTTTTTTACATCTCATCTCCACAAAAACCTACATATCTCAGCTCAGAAATGACATACAAGGCTAAATGAGGTACCATTGGAAAGAGATTGTTTACAGCTATCTAACTGTGCTGGTTTTATTGGTGTTGAGGGCATTTGAAAAATGTGACTAAAGTACCTAATTTGATCAGGGCTCACAGGTCGACCAGTTTTAAAATAGGTACCAGGAATCTATTGGGAAGTAAAATCGACTGACAATATGCTACTGCGCCCGTAAGTACTGTAGCCATCAAGTTTCTTCATTTCTGCTATGTTTCAATGCAGCTTTTATATAATATGCAACATGAATAACTTCAACATAAAGGACGATAAAGCTCTTGCAAAATGTTGTTGAGCCATAAATATGCAGAAAACAGAATTATTCCCCAGGTAAATTTATATTATACACAATTTATATTAGGGCTGACCTCATTCAGTGCTGAGTTAACATCTTGTGGTATACTCTCAAAGCCACCGACTGTACAACCTGTAGCTGTCTGAGGCCGTCTGCAGTGAAAATAAATATAGACAAATGAGAAAATAACAAAAGTAATAATTCAACACACTTTCCATTAATCGGTCTGAGACATTGTGAAACGAAATTAAAGATACAAGTCTACGACAATGTATTTGGTGTTCTGTTTGTGATACATACATCAAGTTAGGTTATGTAAAGGTTGTTGCATATCCTTTACAGGACGTTGCAGAACCAACCCTAACAGCCACTAGCTGTTGTGTGGTTTCTCTAGGCAAATTTACATCCAGTAGTTTGTTATGTAAAGGAAAAGCAAAAAATTGAAAAATTATAAACAGCCTGAATTTAAAAAAAAAAACTGGTGTTGAACTAGGACACACACTGAAAAGTCTTGTCAACAAGTTTTGTCTTTTCTTTATTTAGAATCAGCAGTGCAAGAGAAATATAAAGAAACATTGAAGCATGTAAAGAGGAGAATCCAGGCAGAAGCAAAACATTAGGAAAAGACACAAACAGAACTTCTAGAGATAGCAAAGGGCAGCAGGCTTATCGTAAACTGGTCAACAGTCTAAGCTCAGTTGCAGACATAAGGTAGAAGACACAGAAAAGAATTCCTGAATGCACACATTAAAAAAAAAATCTTACTGAGCTTTTCTGAAGGAGAAGCAAAGATAGGAAAATAAAAAACACAAACAAAATCCTTCTACTGCCCCCATGTTTCTTGTGTGGATTTATCATTACAGCCTGTATTTACCACTTCTGTGGTATAGGCGCAGTGGTCTGAGGATTTAGGACCACATGGCTAGTGCAGTCGCCACAGACTGTGCAGGTTAGGATTTTACTTTGGGGGTCTCCGGCATAATAGCCCAGCCCAGCATTCTAAACCATTCAGCCAGCTGCTTCTCCTTGTGTGAATTATTGTTAGATAATCTCAGCTGATAAAACTGATCTTGTGACCAGTTCAACTAAAAATGTGGATTATGTTCCTACAATTCTTTTCTTCTCTCCTTTATCCCCCAGTAAAACATACGCCCTTAACTGATCTGTGCCAAGTTGTCCTATACTGTGCTATCATACACAGCCCACCCAAAGTTCTTCCTACCTTTTTCACATCGCTCTGTAATACTCTTTCCTCATTTTTCGTTGTTGTTTTATTTAACACCTTTGACCTTACATTCCAATTTAAGGACATTCTACTATTATTACTGATATCAGGTTTTTTAATGCTGTCACAAACTGATATGTTAACTCATTCAGTAGCAAGCAACACATTATGTGCTTACTGATTTCTTTTTAAATTAGGTGTGTATTCTTTACAGGACCTTGCAGAAACAGACCCAGCAATTGTAACTGTACGTAATGTCACTAGGCAATGATACATTCAGTAGGTGGCCACTGAATGGTCGCCTCTCAATAAAACTGTCAAAACAAGGCAAGGTGGTTTTCTGCTAAATTGCCCGCAGCTGAAATCTAACCCAGCACCCCAGATCAATGAAGTGCATTCACAGTGCCTAAGCCACAGACACAGATGAATTCTTCTTTATGTTATACAAATTTCTTAATCCATGTGCCACATGTTTCACTAATTCAAACTGCTCCAACCGTTACTTTAACTCCTTATCTTTCAAATTATTGTTATTGCTTTAACTCCTTGTCTCATATATTACTGTCATTACTTTAATCCCTTCTCTCTCATATTATAGTTGTTATTTTAACTCATTCTCTCTTCTATAGTTGTTATTTTAACTCATTCTCTCTCATATTACTGTTGTTACTTCAACTCTATCTCTCAAATTATTGTTGTTACTTTCAACTCCTTTTCTCTCATATTACTGTTATAACTTTAACTCCATCTCTGTCCTCAAGGAAAAGTCTCTTACTCTTTAACTTTGCCTCTCTTAAATTACTATTACTTTAACTCTATTTCTCTCATAATAATGTTATTTGAACACATTCTGACTCAAACAATTGTTACTCAAAGTACAAAATAAAATGAATTGTCAAGGATAGAATAGGATATACATGGTAATGAAAGAGTTTAAAATTTGTTTCTGACTTTTTTCCTTAACTGGTAAAACAACAAATACTGAAATAAAGAACAGGTGAACTGACTAAATAAAGACATGATTTACTATATTTTAAATTATATTTCATGCCCTAAAAAAATTGCACCATGTTCGGTGCAATTGCACACCTACTCAGTTGTTTAGGGTTCAGTACTCCAGAGGGACAAGTGTTTAAAATTGTCCTAAAAATGCATCTATGAGGTCATCTCTAGTATGTAGAAAAGAAAGGTGGTGTCCAAAGAAGTGCAGTGGGTAACATACTTGCCTGCCAGTCTGGTGGTCTCATGTTGAAATCCCTATTGCGATAGATTTGTATAGGACAGAAAATGTAAATAAAGATTTTAAAAATAAAAATTAATACCTCTCTGTCGAATTTTGACCTTCTTGCAAGACAGAGCCATTGCTTTCAGTGACAGGACATACATGAGTTGTCGGTAAAGTCTGCCCATCTGACTTCAGAACACTGCCCTGTTTGAAATCTTCACCTGTCAGAAATCTTATTTTTATCAGCAAATAAAATCTATGGCTTCTACAATGGCTCCAGTAATGAATATTTCGCTAAAGACACTCAGTGAAAAACTATGAAAAAAATAAAATAGAACAAACTTTTTTAAAGGGTAACAAATGGCCAGGCAGGGATGTCTTACATTCAGAAGGATTTATTCCTGGACTGAGTAATAAAGGCATCTGACTCAAAGTGTTGTCATGCAGTGTAAAAGTTAAGTTTTTGTTATTTTACACAAAAGGGTTACAAAACGTTTTGGCTTATCATAAAGTAAAACTTGCCCCATAAAGGTGCGACCAGTATTCTAACTCCATAAATATTTTTTTTTTTTAGTATAGTACAGTATCAAAAAATCTTTAAATATTGATTTATATTTTTATCTGTAGTAATTATTAATCTCTGGATTCCATCTCTTATATGAAGGGGATGTTTTAAAAAAAATTGCATTACTTTGACTGATAATTCTGAAGAATTTTGCACTTGATCACTCAGACTAAGACAGTCCAATCTCGATGGCATGTCAAGCCTGGAAAAAAAAAAACACTAGAAACTAAGGAATCTCCATAGAGAAATGCTAGTAGAAAACATCTTAGTTGGTTTACCCCTACCTGATCAACAGTTAATACTTCAATGCCATCATTGAAGCAGACAACTCTTGGCTCTGACTGGTCTAATCAGTGTGCACCAATCAGACCCAAGAGACCATGGAGCTGTACCGCTGGTTTTGGGAACAATGTGTGTCTGCTATGACTGTCAAGTCCAATCTGGGAGTGGTAGATTTTGCCACAGTCCACATAAAAAATTAATATTCTATTATACTGAGGCTGGTTTGCTTTTTTTTTTTTTTTTAGTTGTTTAATCTCTATTGCTTGTTATGTTCGGTCTCTTGCAAAGTGCAACAGTCCATATTTGAACCTCTCCAGGGCAGAGGCCTGGGCATTTGATGTCAAGGTAAGGGCAACTGCCAATGCAGCTCAGCACCGAAGATGTTGCAGGAATTGCTGGAGCAGCAATGTATTCACTGTTAGAGATGGTCTAAACAACTGCTTCAAGAACAACACTGAGACTGACAGATGGAAATACAGTTCTCTTCATAGACTTTAACTTAAATATACATGGACTCCCAAAAAATAGTTATACATGTTCATTTATTAGAAATCTGTTTCTTAAAATATATTTAGGTTTTATATACCTTGAAAAACATTTTTAAAAGAACAAAAGAACAAGCATAGTTATCTGACGGTGCAAAAAATATAGTTATCAGATGGCATATTTGTATTGGTTGATGGGACAGCTCATACGCCTAAATAATATTGATGACCCAGATGGAAAATAACTGTCAACTGATTGGTTGACCCCTAGGGTATTCTTATAAACAATTTAAACAATTTGACTCATTTAATTACACAATGACATTATGACAAAACGATGTTCCTTCAGCAGATGGTTTTTTTTTTTAAGTTGTAAACCGCCATCTTTAAACAGTATAATACAAGTTAAAGAACATAAGTAAATAGTATAAGTAAAGATATGTAAAAATATTCTAGATGTTAGAACCTGAGAACATTCTGTTTTAGGCACTGCTTCTTCTTAGCGTTGTAAACTCTGGCAGAAAGTTCTGGTTGTTCATTCACTTCTGGACTTTAGACTTATTTCAGAACTTCATTTTGCAAGCACATCCATTTTAGAGTCCCTGCATGTTTGTCTGCAGACTGTGATTTCCTTGCCTCACAGGCAGATGCACTCAGACTTCGCAGGAAACACCCTTACTTTGTCAAATTTTATAAAATGCTTGTTGGGGAAAAAGGGGAGGGGGGGGGGGGGCAAGGGAACCAGTGAGTCTCTTCCACAATAGGGTCCCCGAGAACCCATCTGGGAGAGGCGCTGCTGATAACAAGGACATATGGAATTGCAAAATATTTCAGTTGCACTTTGGGTGCAATAAAGCTTTCAGGTGTAAGTATTTGAATACCTTGTGTTTTGTCTCTGTTGAACTCCCTCACATTTTCTGCAGAATTATGGCGCTTTAGAAGTGTCCTAGAAGAGTTTTTAAAAAACTGGACTTAATGAAGATATTTTGAGAACATGTTTTAAACAAAGTATCGGTCCTTTATTTAACTTAACCATACAGCACTCTTGTTCACTACAACCAAATGCTCTCGCACCAAATGCAAGACATGCATGCATCATACAATTCACCCCACCCCATGGTTCAATTCCAAAATTGTTCATATCAAATTAGGGAAGCATTTACTTGTACATTTTGAACATTTATTTCTGCCAGGATCTGCATAAAATGCAAAAGTGCATACACTGGGGAAACCAGTTAGCAGATTACTTCCATTTGCATCTTATGGATTTTCAAAATATAGCTCCTAAACACGTTTCCCTCTGTTTTCATAGTTCTAATCATAAAGGAAAAACTGACATATGTTAATGCCACAAAATCTTGCTTTGGAGATCTAAATTACACAGGTCTCTTTGGAAAATTGTCTCATTCATAATTCTGGCATTATTAAGCCCACAGAGATCAATGCTCAGCATACCTACATCTCATTTAATTTAATTACTTCTTTCTCAGTTACGCGTTTTCCCTTTATTTCCTGTTCTTTCTTTTGTTGTTTCATACAACTCTTTCCGTTCCAAATTATATCATTTCCACTTACATTTGATTTAGCCAGGTGTTTATGATCTAGTTTTATCATTGATAAGGGTTTATTACAACACACATGGCTGTTTTTGTACTCATCTTTTCTTTTCAGTTTATCAAGCTTTCTAGTAATTGTGCTGTTTATTTCTGCATATTTTTACAAAACAAATAGCATTCAGGTGGTAATGTGGTCAATATATCACCAGACACCTTTAGTTCTCAGAACATATCTGGTACCTTTTTCAGGCTGGGTTGCCTCACCCCGATTAATGCTTTTCCACTCTTTCAGGCCCAATCAATTCTGTGTGTGTTGAGTAGTTCCGATTTGCCCAAACCACACAGTATGTATTGATCGCGTGTCCCCCACACACTGATTTGCAGGATGTTCCAAAATTAGCTTTTAATGTCTGAAACTACCATGAAAATATTCAGGGAAGGTTACTCTAATGTTGTTTCTTTGTTTAAATGTCTTTGTTCATATATTTAGGCATAAATCTATCAAATACATTGTAAGCGTCATTTTCAGACAGTGAATTTTCCAATTTTGTCATTCTACTGACCATGGATACCAAACACAAGTGCCGGCTGCAAATTTACTTTTCTGTGGCTGAGCTCTCAAACTGTTTCACTCAGATGTTTTTAATTATGATAATGAGAACTTAAATTATTCAGAAATTTATTCGGGTGGTGAATTTACACCAATAGCAGCTGAGCGGTCAGCAGTTAGAAAATCCTGCAGTTTTGATGGGATAAACCCAGGAGGACACATTTCATTTGCAAAGGATGAGATAGTCACCCACAACTGCATCCAAAGGACTTTTTCAAACAGTACCATACTGTGGCTAAGCTGTGATTGAAATCATTGCAGCTACAGACTGTATATAACTGTATAAAGCAATGTGTAATGGTCCATTTTTCTGCCATTTTTTTTTTCAGTACTTTTTAAGAAAGTTGAGCCGAGTGAAAAACTAACCCAGAAACTTTAAAATTTTTAATTTGTTACAATTTTGTCTCTGTAAGAATAACACCTCCTGAATCTTTTGGCCACTGAGTATAACATCATTAAACATAAACATATCATCAGATTCAAAATGTACATTTATTTCTCTGTAAAAAAATGTATAATTTTCTAGGATTTAGGAAAATATTACAATCTCTTTTGCATTTTTGTCACACCACCCTCTCTGCAATTTTTTTTTAAAGGGAAATGATTGTGAAATCTGTCACAATTCATGGGCCTGAAAGAGTTGAATCGTTGATTTTAATAAACAATTACTAATATTTTTAAATAGTAATTTATGAAAGATTCTTAGAATACCTCGGTCCAAAAAGATGAAAAACACTGACACCTTACATGATCTGAACATCGAGGAGATCTGGCTAATAAACAGCATCCTAAATCGAAAGCTGGGGTATTCTGGCCATATTAAACATTATCGTAGCCTGAAGAGAATGGTGAAGGAGGGTAAAGTTTCTGTAAGACATTCTAGAGGCTGACCTTTATGAAGGTGGACACAAGACGCTGAAGATCTGATGGCTATGAAAGCACATAGGGCTGAAGAATTCACTAGAAAAAGAGAGAGACTAAGACTACAGTGATGAGAGTGATGTTCTATAAAAGACCTGCAGTCTGATGATTATGAATATCTGATTTGTTTCCATTATATTTCTACTCAAAATATATTATAATTAAAAGAATCAGCAATTTTCATATTTACACAACACAGCCATCAAACTGTTTTCATGACTTATTTCATTCCCACCTTTCAATAGCAGCTTTGTCTTCAGGAGACACTGTTTCTTCCTCTTCTTCCTCACTACTGTCACTTTGTTCAACTTTGTCTTTTGTGATTTTTATTTGCCCAAATTCATCAAGCTCCTCGAGATAATACTGGATAGAATGAAATTAAAACTGTTCATCAGCTGCTCACTGAAGCTCACTTCTACTACTCTACTACTACTATTACTACTACTACTACAACTACTATTACTACTACTACAACTACTATTACTACTACTACAACTACTATTACTACTACTACAACTACTATTACTACTACTACAACTACTATTACTACTACTACAACTACTATTACTACTACTACAACTACTATTACTACTACTACAACTACTATTACTACTACTACAACTACTATTACTACTACTACAACTACTATTACTACTACTACAACTACTATTACTACTACTACAACTACTATTACTACTACTCCTACAGCTGCTGCTGCTGCTTCTTCTTCTTCTTCTTCTTCTTCTTCTTTTTCTTCTTCTTCTTCTTCTTCTTCCACTACTTCTTCATCTTCTTCTCCTGCTTCTTCATCTTCTGCTTCTTCATCTTCACCAGATGTAAACTCCAGTGGAAAGTTCTGGTTGTTCCTCCAACTCCATACTTAAGTTTTGTTCCAGAACCTCAGTGTTGTGTGCACATCAATTTTACAGATCTGGCTTATTTGAATGCAGACTGTTGGTTTCCTTGCCTCCTGGCAAATGCTGTTCGACTTCAAAGGATGCCTCTAATTAGTTGACTCCTACAACATGCTTGTTGGGAAGGCAGTGGGTATGTTCTTGTTTCCCCTCACCCCATTCTCCCAATGAGGCCCCAGATTCCACATGGGGACTTCCGTCTTTCACCTTCTAATGGAGCACAGGCTATCAGCCAACTCAAGCAAAGTCCATACAGATTTGTTTAGGTGCTACTATTTTCTATGAAACAGGGAATTCAGTCTCACATGAACCTTTCTTTGTCCCTCCTCATGGCATATAAATTATATTATGGTCTATCATTACAAGTTTTTCAACGAGCAGACACAATGGCTGCTTCTGCACCACTTAGTGGTAAACAGATGCATGGTAAGATAGATGTGGTTAAATGGCCTCTACTGTCCGGAAAGAATGATGCAAAGAAGGAAGACCACAGGATCTGGCAGATATTCAACGCACAGATGAAAGGTAAGATTATTTAACATACAGTCACTACGTAACTGGCACTTTAAGTGTCAAAACTCAGTGCTGATTTATGAATGAGTTAGTCAGTCAGTTGGTCAGTGAGTCAGGCAGTGACTCATCTGTTTTACTCTTATCCTCCCATGGGCAGTAAACTCACTTGAGAATTATCCCTGTGTGGGTTCCAGGGCAGGATTTTGGAGAAAACAAGAACAGACTCACCACCTCGCTAGCGAGCATGTCATTACAGCCAAATAATTAGGGGATTACTTCTAAGTTGCAGTGCATCTACCCAAGAGGCATGGAACCAACAGCTTGCATACAATTAAGCCAGCTCTGGTGAACGGATGTGCACACAACACTCAAAAGTGGATTAACAACTAGAATTTTCTGCTGGAGTTTACTGCCGGTGAATAGAAAGAATAAGAAGACTATAATTATGTTCACAGGTACCAAAATTCCCCAGTTACTTTGCAACCATCAGATGCCCCACTGTCTGCAGCAAACGCCAAAAAACGTGTTCAATTGAATTGATTCATGACCCAAAATCACAGCAGTCAGGCATTCACATGAGCGCTCTGTTCCCATTTTCAGCAGCTAGTGCAGTGTCTCAATACCAATGGTACCAGTAGATTATACGTCTGTCTTGACATTCCTCTGAGCGTCACGGCCAGATCCCCTCATCACTCCCTCACTCCCCACTGCATCACTTTCACCAGACTGTGGTGATCAACTTGCTCCTCCAAAATATACATCTTGTCCAACAAGGCCCTAACCAGTAAAAAGCTGCAGTGACCGCCACCACCTCCATTCTTAAGCTTGATGTTGTGGTATCATATGCTAAGCTCTCCTGCACCAAAAGTTGACCATTAACTTTTGCTAAGAAAACCCAAGCAATTCTTTTGCTTCTTGCCATTAAATCATCTGTATAAATAATCACATCCTCTGAGCAAGCATTATATTAAATTAATTGCTAAATTTCCCACCTCCGTGGCAGCCGCGGGCCATTACCGCATTCCCAAATCAAGCAAAAAAACATGTCCAATCGTATAACAGTTAAAAAATACAACTGTGTTAGTGATAAATGGTTGAACATTCCTCCACCGTGGAAATTGCTCCTGTTGAATTCTGATCCAAATAGTGGCTCTTTGAGTCACTGGGTTTTCAGCTTGTAGAGTGCAGCCCTGGAGGTGAGGGGAAATTTCAACAACAAAAAATTATAATAATTATGTTCAGAAAAGAAGAAAAGTTCCGAAAGTTTACCTGTGGAAATAAGATTTCCTTAACTTTGTGAGGTTCTGCCCCTAACTTGGGTGGAGCAGGACTCCAATACACTTGTGTTTCATCAGTTCTAATCTGCATCTTTTCACCAGCAAGTGACAGATCTGCTTCACAAATCTGTTGACAAAAGACTTCATGAAAACGAGTTTTGATTTCCAACAGTAGTCATGAACTTATGATTTCTTTAGACACATAAATAAAAAACCTTTACATCATGTGTACTTCTGGTGGTCTGCAGAAAGAGGCATTTTGTGCCTTAAAGCATACTGCAAGGGGGCTGCGTAGTCTTGAGGTATGGTGTCCACCTCGAGTGCTAAATGTGCCGAGTTCAATCCCCGGTGAAGGCTGGGATTGTTTCTGTTCACGTTGACTTCTAGTAATTTCCCCTGGTCTCTGGGTAGTGAGATCGGACGCCCCTGTGCATTGTTGTGCATGTGAAAAAGCCAAAGAGAAAAAGGAGTCTAAAAAAACATATAACTTCTTTTTTGTGTGTTTACAAAGAGTAGTTGGCACATTCTGTTGAGGTTTACAGTTAGGATATGATACCTGCCCCTTTCAGCTCAACACATTTAAGAAGTCCTCTTTTAATCAACATTTGTTAGTTAACCCCCCCCCCCCTCCCCACTTTTCCCCCACCCAATAGGTCACCAGAATCCATATGGCAGATGAAAAGAGACTTAAAGACTGAGGACTTGGTGTGAGTTTCATACAGTGGCAGCTGGTGAGAGCTGGTTGAGAACCTATGTTCCACCAGGTACTTTTGCATGCTCATCCACTTTACAAATCTAGATTAGTTGTATGCAAACTTAGTTGTATGCAGACTGTTGGTTCCTCGCCTCTTAAGCAGATGCACTCCAACTTTGAAGGAAATATCCCTAGTTAGTCAACTTTTAGGATGTGCTTGTTACGGAGGCAATGGGTCCATTTCCCTTTCCCCCTAACAATGGGGCCAGAGAAACCACACATGGAAGGGATACATACAATGCAACAAGTATTCCTACCACACAATTTGCCTTTTCCTGCCACTCTTGTAGAGTGTTTCTTTCTTCCATCGACTTGTTCATCTCATGCACTACTCTAGATGCAGCATCCTCTATTCTTGAGCTGCTTGTGGTTGATGAAGCCTCTTCTTCCTCTAATGTAGCCAGCTCTTCTTGTGTGAACTATACCCAAAAAACGAAAAACAAACCACACACACATGTACTTGAAAAGAAATGATATTAATACTCATATCTGAGAATACTGTTGGAATGTTAGAAATTTATAGACTAACAATATTAGCTGACAGGGACAAGAATATTATAAAGTTTAACAGTTTTAGATTGAGAGGATAAATTTCACTGCACCAGGTGTTATTCTGCCTGGCTTGGTTTCTTTCTGCAGAATGGCCAACCACCTGTCAAAAGCCAGATGCAAAGCAGAAACTCCAAAAACAGCCAGTGATGTTTCCTATGAATCACTATAAAAACCGCACTCGTGAATCAAACCACTCAGTATGTGAAATGAATCGATGACCTATGTCCTATGTTGTGGTGGTGTTATGAGATGGCTTTATTCAGTGTTCACTCGCCGCATATAATGTTTATGTGAGGTTGTGTGGTCGTGAGTCAAGTAAGAAATACTGCAGGGGGAAGTGCCGAAGGCGTGACTGTTCATGAGTATCGCAACTGGGATGTTTTGTACTTCTATGTTCCTTGGTGGCGGCTTCACTCCATAAAACATACGCCACTGACAAGGAGTGTAGTAATGCAAAGGCATGCCAGTTTCAATATTTACGAAACATCGCTGAAGTAGCGCAATGTGCAAATAATCCCTCAACTGAGCGGTGACAACAGGAGAAAAGACAGAATGGTTAAACTGTTAAAAATAAGATATATATGATACCACCACAACATATGACAGCCTGTGAAAATGGTCAAAGCATGAATAGGAGCGGAAGGAACTCTCTTCCTGTGGTGACATGGGGGCAGGTTCGTGATGAGTACCGATAATGATGATTTCTTGAAATGATTCATCGATGTAAGTGAAATAATGATAATAATTATTTCTTTACATGTATCATCCATGTAAGTAAGACACTTAATGATAATGATAATTTCTTTACATGCTGTTAGATCTTTCATCAACATTCAAGACAAGGATGATGTTTTCTTACCCTGTATGGCTGGTCCGGCATCACAGCGGGGAATCTGTCCGGTGTGTGGTATTTTCTTCCTACATGCATTAGAGGTTGTGGCAGCTGGTAATCCACAGTCACGCAGCAAAAGTGGTGGATATTTTTCAAGAACCTCCCATCTTGTTTTGCGTCAGTCTGTCTAGAACCTCCTGGTGTCCAGGTAGACAAAAGTGAGACAAATGAGGCAGCAGATCTACTTTCAGGATTTATTTTTGGAGAAATGGTTCGGTATCCATGAATCTCCTTCATTTCCCCATGAACACTGAGGATGTCTTCCAGTGTCACTTCTGGAGGTGCCAGGAGGTCTTCCCAGATCTGTAGAGAATGACCAAATCAACAGAAGAATAAATTTATGTGAAGTAAAGTTTAAAAAAAATAAAATAGACAATCCAACAAGATAATGCTTGGCCTAACCAAGAGAGCCATAATAACAAAGTGACCAGCCAGATTTTCTTTCTCACTAAGGCAAAGATATTTTGGGGTACTTTTCAGCTTTTCCACCCCATCTCAGGGGCTGCGAGATTTGTTAGGGAATTTCTAGGGAGTTCCTAGGAGGTGTAGTATAGAGAGGTTAGGGGTAGATTCTTATTCTTCAACTGTATACCCTAAATAGATTATCAATATTTGCAATGTCATCTCTAGTATGAACTTCATTGTATTCTGTAATCACTTTAGCGATCCATAAAGTTCAGCTTTAACCAGTGTCTCTCTTGAGCAGACTTAGGCAGTGTGATGCGAATAGGGGATATTTTGGGGTGGGCCCTTAAAAGGGCCATCTGGGGTGTTGGTGGGAGAGTACCCTGACAAGGAGTGACAGTTTCCATGTACACATACTCATTGGTTAGGATTAGGGTTAGGGTTGGGTTAGATGCATGAATGCTGACAGAAGATGGAAATTTATGATGAAGGCAAAGTCACGAAGTAAGAACACTGCTTGCAAACAGGGCATAGAGATGGCGAGGAATAACACACATCTTAAGTGATGACACAATAAACAATGAACACTGAAGACAAAACAATAAACACTAAAAACAACCAACACGTGACATGTCTAGAACATGTCAGTTTTAGTGTTGTAGGGTTATTGTTAAATGAACACCAACTAACACTAAACCTTACCTTCCTATACTATAAGACCTTTCTAGGAACTCCCTAGAAATTCACTAACAAATCTCACAGCTGGTGAGATGGGCTGAAAAGCTGAAAAGAACCTTATTTTTTTTTTTTTTTTTTTTTATTATTTACCTGCAAAGTTTAATTAAAATTAGACCAGGCAAGGTGATGAAAAAAGAAATTCTTGCCCTGAGAATGCATTCTTGCAAACAGAATAACCTACAGATTAACTTTCAGCAATTACATCCAATGAAACAGTAATTTTTAGACAGACAAAAACTGCATACACAAAAGAGTTGAATGGGAGTAGACTTTGAGGCAAACCAAGAAGGCTGCAGAGAGATAATGTAAATGTAGACCTACAAACACCTGGAGTCACCGAATGGAAAGAGAAGGCTCATCATAGATATGAATGGAATCAGGTGATATCTGCAGCAATCAACCTCAAGCTAGACATTGTGAGAGCCCTCTGGGAGCAAGTGAACTGTGCGAGAGCACAAACAGATCATTACAGTCTGAGGAGAATAGTCCTGCGAGGAGTTACCATGGGATCTGGCCTACGCTTAACACTTAAGGGAAGGGCGAGACGGTTATACAATCAGACAGTTACTGGTGCCATCAGAATTGGAACTCTTCGTTTGCTGCTGAAGATGGGGACAGAGGACTTATGAGGGTGTCCCGAGTGCTATGATGATGATTCTTAATTCAGTATTCAACATTCAAGGGCTCAGAATACTGAAGAAAAAGAAGGGGGGAAAAAAGGATTTATATCCAGTTCTCAGCAGAGGCTGTTTTTTTCTTTCTTTCCTAGTAAACCCAGCCTCCTATAATGGCATTTACCAGCAAATCTGGCAATTGTGATCACAAACAACCCCCCCCCCCTTTTCAACCCCCTTCCTCCAAGAAAATTATGCTGTTACTTGTATTGTGCTTTTGTGCTTGAATAAGCAAGATTGTTTTTAATTTTCATGAAAAAATTTCTAGAGTTGTCATTATCCTAAAATGGGTAAAATATCTTCTTCTTAGGCTCCTGCAGCAAGTTCTGGTTGTTAATTCACTTCTGCACTTAGTCAGCTTGAGTTTTGTGTGCACATCAGTTTTACAAATCAGGCAAAATTGTATGCAGACTGTTGGTTACTTGCTGCTCAGGCAGATGCAACCCAACTTCACAGAGAAAAAATAACTAATTACGCGATTTTTACAACATACTTGTTTGGAGGGCAGTGGGTCTAACCCTTCCCCCCCCCCCAACCCCCTCCCATAAAGGGGCCCAGAAACCCACCCGGGGAGGTGAAGTATAATTTTCAGAATTGTCTGGAAAAGGAAGACAGTCAAAAAAATAATCAGGTCACTATACTTAGTTAAAAGGTTAAAGGTAAAGGTTTACTGTCAAGATTATCAACTTCATTGCATCTGGTTTACCCAATCTGGCTTGGTATCTTTCCGCATAATGACTAGCCAACTGCAGAGAGCCTCGAACAGAGCATAAAATCCATAGCTCCAAGGATGATCCCTAGAGATCTCAGTATATACTGCACTTGTGAACCCGACAAAACAGTCCATAAATGCATGACCCTGAGAGCATGAGGCAAATGGCTTAAACTGGTGCCATCACAAATCAGTTCATCACAAACTATGTGAAAAAAAGTCCTACTACTTCAGCTCTACTAATGTAGAGCTTTAGGAGAGAACTAATTAAGTTCCAGTGGACCAAGAGGTGAAGAAAGACGCTGGCATTGGATAGGACATATGTTGATAAAACCTGTAAGCAATATAACTATAATGTCTTTGCACTGGAACCCACAGGGGCATAGGTATAAAGGAAGAC